CTGGAACCACTTTTTAAAAACTTAAATTTGAAGAGACATAACACACTGGAACCACTTTTTAAAAACTTAAATAAAAACATAACAAAACTGATGAAGATAATATCTACCAAATACTTTGTTTTCACTGAAATTACATGGTAAAAAGGCAAAAATTTCTATGTTTATTTTCTAGGGAAACAAGTGAAACAACACTCTAGGAAGAAGGTTCTGAGTAAAGTAGTAGTTCATTAGTGAATGTGCCACTCTGCATACAATAAACTGGGCATTTGACATAAATGTAATCTGCTCAGAGGGCCTCAGATGGGAAGGACCTTACTATCTGCTTTATTCTCTAGCCCCACCATAGAGGGATAGGGAAATGGAGCAGTCAAATTAATTGGATTTGAATAGGACTCCTTTTACTTACAGCAGTTTTATTCATATTTAAGAAAATGGTTATCTTTGAAAAGAAACTGAAATATGGATAAGCAAAATATCATTATTACTGTCCTTTTAAGTTTTTTTTTTCCAATGTGACTCTGGTCACAGGTCTGGTGCAGGAAATAAGGGCTGAGAAAGTATTGTAGAAACATCATGTAGTCCCATCTGAAGATGAGCATTCCAGTGTAGAGGACAGTAAGGAGATGCTTTCAGATTGGAGATGTATCTAATCACTGATTTTGAAATGGAACCAAGTATCCTTTGAAGATCGTTTCTCATGTATTTACCAATGCTTTGGGGTTTAAGCAGCTCGAAAATGTGAGAAAGACCTTTTCTCCAACAAAGCTCTTGCTTCTGTTAATAGCAAACTGTTGAGAAGAAAGTACAGAAGCATGTAAAGAGTTCTTTGTGAGGGAGGATTTGTTAATTTTTAAAAGAAGAGGTATGGAAAAAGCCTCTGTTTGGATTAAAGTCATTGTGAATTTAGATGATTCAGTGAAGCATACAGAGCTCAAGGTACTGAATCTCAGGGCTGTGTTCCAAAGTAGCATTTAAATAGCTGCTTAATATCAGCCTCTTGAATTATCTTGTAGAAGTGAAAGAAATTTTTCATATTCTTGAAGGTACATATGTATATTTCAGTACTTTCTTAGAGTTGCTCCTTAGTACATTGCAGTTTTGAGTCCTTGTGAAGCAAGACTTAGCAATGGAGAAGTAATTCCGAATAGACCAACAAGAAATAATATCTTGATTTTCAAAGTTACTGTAAAACCCAGGCAGGAAAAAAAAAGATACGAGTTTCACCAGAAATGTGACAGTGTCTTAGAATGCTGGTTAAAACAAAGGAAAAGCAGAGTTGCCGAGTGTTGCTGCTGTTAGACTATTATTTATTTGCTTTTGTGTTTTGTCTAGTTTCCACCTAGCTTTCATGTGCAATATTGTAATCTTCTCAGAATCCTCTGAATTGTTAAAGAGGACGCAAGACTGCTCCCACATTTTTTATATTTCTAATTTTTCATTCTGGAAAAGACATTAATGGCAGCTCTGTCCCAATAACTCAAAGTTAGGTTACTATTCCCTGAATTTTGGTACTGGCAAAGGCAGTAAGTCAGGTTGGTTGTGCTTGGGCAAACCGTAAGGATAAGCTAGTTTTTGTAAGATATCTGGATGCCTAAACTGTTTAGACTCTTTCAGAATTCCTACAAACACACAGCTGCCTCTGAAATTCCACTCTTCATTTTCATTTCATTGCCTGAACATCATAGAAATTTGTCCCTTTGGCCTGTTGAGCTCTGTAGATATTTTTGTGAGCTTTAGATAGCGGCCCAAATTGCGATCATGATGTTTATTATGATGCCAGAATTGCATCATTTCACAGTTGGAGTTCTGAAATCAGTCTTTAGGAATGAAAATGCCTGTACAGTGTTAGTGGTTACCACCTAATTCTTCATGTTCTGCTTGAGACTTCAAAGAAAAAGTAAGTATCTGGAGAGAACAACAGCCCAGATCTGATTGTCAGCCATGTAGAGCACTGAGCAGTTCCTGCCGATAGGCCGTAGATCTCTCCTCTCTCTCTTTCTCTGCCATTGCAGAATCCTTTTTTATTGATAACTTCATAACCTTCTTTTCCTTGCCAGGTTGTGCAGTAAGATATGTACAACTGAATTCTGAATTTGCACTGAAGCAAGTCTGGTATAATAACTGACAGTAAGAAGTGCAGTGAAATCACTGTAGGATAAAGAAGCAGAAAAGCCTAAAGACTTTGTTAGTAGAGACTGCTCTCTCGGTTATTCTAGGATTAGTATTCGTTTTTCTTATCTGGAATTTTTGTGTAGGGTTGGTATCAGCAGAGCATAGTATCAGTTTTGAAAAGGAAATTAGAGTTTCCAAAAAAAATGTTTTTGTTTAAGCTAAGGAAAAAGGCTTGCAAATTTTGTATTTTTCTTAATACTACAACAATCTGATTCCTCATAATAAACTTTTTGGACTATAATAGGAAAATAGCATTTAAAGCATTTAAACTTGCTTGCAGGGATTTCTGATGTAGATAATCTCTGAGCGTTATGCACGTTTCATTACCTGGATTTCTATGCAGACAGACAATTTATCCTTAAGGTAGACACTTGTTTGGGAAGGAGAATATTGAACGCAGGTAACACTGATCCCTTAATTTCTGCAATAATCTGACATAGTTCTTTTGACTGAAGAAAATGTAACCAATTTATCCAAATTGAGTCTGAGTCCCTTTTTTCTTTACATTATAGTGGAAGATAAGTTTTCTGTGCAAACCAATACTTGTTTAATACTTTTTCTTTCCTGCCTTCATTTAGGACCCCCACAAAGAACTATTTCCCCCAAACAAGACCATGAAGAAAGGAAGCATGATAAAGTCTTGGACAAAGGCAGTGAAAGTGGGACTTCCTGTAACGAGTTGTCCACTTCGAGTTGTGACAGCCATTCAGAAGCTAGCACTCCTCAAGAAAATGCTGCTAGCACCCAGCAAGCTACAGCCCACCAACCAAGTACTCTCACTTTGGATCGTCCATCCAAGAAGGCTCCAGTGCAGTGGATGCCGCCTCCAGACAAACGTAGGAACAGTGAACTCTTTCAAACTCTCATTAGCAAATCCAGAGAAACAAATCTTTCCAAAAAGAAGGTGTGTGAGAAGCTGAGCGTTGAGGAAGAGATGAGAAAATGTATCCAAGATTTTAAAAAAATCCATATTCCAGATTACTTTCCAGAGCGCAAACGTCCTTGGCAATCTGAACTCCTACAGAAATATGGGTTATAGTGATCACCTCCTTCGTGACGTATCTCTGTGGCATTTGATGTTTATTGAGTTGCCACTAACTTACTGATGT